GGACAACAAAAGACCCCAAAGAACTAAAGCAATCTTGAGAGAAAAGAACAAAGCTGGAGACATCACAATCCCTAACTTCAAAACACACTACAAAGCCACAGTAATGAAAACAACATGGTACTGGTACAAAAACAGACACACAGATCATGGAACAGAATTGAAAGCACAGAAATAAAACCGCACATCTACAGACAGCTAACCTTCGACAAAGGAGCTAAGAACATACAATGGAGAATGGCAAATCTCTTCAATTAATGGTGTTGGGAAAACTGGACAGCCACATGCAAAAGAATGAAAGTGGACCACTATTTTATACCATACACAAAAATCAACTCAAAATGGATTAAAGACTTAAAGGGAAGATCTGAAACCATAAAACTCCTAGAAGAAAATATAGACAGTACACTCTTTGACATGGGTCTTAGAAGAATCTTTTCGAATACCATGTCTTCTCTGGCAAGGGAAACAAAAGAAAAAATAAATGTGACTACATCAGACTAAAGAGCTTCTGCAAGGCAAAGGAAACCAGGAACAAAATGAAAAGACAACCCACCAACTGGGAGAAAATATTTGCAAATCATATATCCAACAAGGGGTTAATCTCCAAAATATATAAGGAACTTACACAACGCAACAGCAAAAAAACAAACAACCCAATCAAAAAATGGGCAGAGGATATGAACAGGCATTTTTCCAAAGAAGATAGACAGATGGCCAACAGGCACATGAAAAGATGTTCAACATCCTTAATCATTAGGGAAATGCAAATCAAAAGTACAGTGAGAGGGGCCGGCCCATGGCTGAGTGGTTAAGCTCAAGTGCTCCACTTTAGGGGTCCCAGGGTTTCACCGTTTCAGATCCTGGGTGCAGACCTGGCTCCGCTCATCAAGCCATGCTGACGCAGCATCCCACACAGCAGAGCCAGAAGGACCTACAACTGGAATATACAAGTACGTACTGGGGGCTTTGGGGAGAAGGAAAAAAAAAAGAAGATTGGCAACAGATGTTAGCTCAAGTGCCAATCTTTAAAAAAAATAAATAAAAGAAAGGAAAATTCTTACAAAACTACAATGAGATATCACCTTACACCTGTTAGAATGGCTATAATCACCAAGACTAAAAATAACAAATGTTGGAGAGGTTGTGGAGAAAAGGGAACCCTTATACACTGCTGGTGAGAATGTAAATTAGTGCAGCCACTATGGAAAACAGTATGGAGATTCTCAAAAAATTAAAAATAGAAATACCATATGACCCAGCTATCCCACTACTGGGTATCTATCTAAAGAACTTGAAAGCAGAAATTCAAAGAGACTTATGCACCCGTATGTTCACTGAAGCATTATCCACAATAGCCAAGAAGTGGAAGCAACCCAAGGGCCCATCAGCTGATGATTGGATAAAGAAGATGTGGTAAATATCCACAATGGAATACTACTCAGCTGTAACAAAAGACAAAATCGTCCCATTCACAACAACGTGGGTGGACCCTGAGGGTATTATCTTAAGCAAAATAAGCCAGACAGACAAAGACAAACACCGAATGATTTCACTCATCTGTGGAAGATAAACAAACACACGGACAAAGAGAACAGATTAGTGGTTACCAAGGGGAAGAGGGTTGGAGGGTGGGCATAAGGGGTAAAGGGGCACATATGTATGGTGACTGACAAATAATAACGTACAGCTGACATTACACAATGTTACAAACTATTAGGACCTCAGTAAAATAACGTTTTAAGTGAAGACATCTGTCTTTTCTGCAGGGCAGAGGGGGCCTGTTGAAATCACCACTTACATACACGGCAACGACGGCCACCGACGCAGCTGTGAAAGTCGCTGGCTCCCGACCCTGGAGCAACAATGACTGCAGGGATGAGCTTACACCAATACGAATAAAAACAGGTGCTGTCTGCTACCCTGTGGGGCAAGACTGCACACGCGACAACACTTAGGGTGCCTGAGAGATGACGTGGAACCACAGGGGCCTCGATGGGCCCAAGCCTCATGGAGTAGCTTTGTGAGCAGCAGGGCCCAAGTGGATGGTGGCCCTGGCACCCAGCCTATCTGGTTGGGGGAGAGGACCTGGTCTGGATGGTGCACAGTGAGGACTAGCTCTGAGGGCACACTCTGCCACCCAAGAGGGGTCATGGGCTGGCATGGCGCAGGAAGCCTATGGCGTGGCTATCAAAAGATGCTCAAGGAAATCAACTTGGTAGTTCCTCAAAAACTCCAACAGAATCGTCATACGATCCAGCAATTCTGCTTCTGGGTACATACCCAAGAGAACGGAAGGCAGGGTCTCCAATGGATACTTGTATGGTAATATTCATGGCAGCGAAGAAGCAGAAACAAACCAAGTGTCCACTGAGGGATGAACGGATAAACAAAATGTGGCATATCCATGCAACGGAATGTTATTCAGCCTTAAAAAGGAAGGAAATTCTGACACATGCCACATGGATGAACCTTGAGGAAATTATGCTCAGTGAAAAAAGCCAGCCACAAAAAGATAAATTATATGATTCCATTTATGTGAGATACCCAGAGTAGTCAAGGTCACAGAAAGAAAAAGTAGAATGGTGGTTACCAAGGGCTGGGGGAGGGGAAATGGGGAGCTAGTGTTTAATGAGGACAGAGTTTCAATTTGGGAAGAGGAAAAGAGTTCTGGAGATGGATGGTGGGGACCATTGCACAACAATGTGAATATACTTAATGCCACTAAACTGTACATTTATAAATATTTAGTATGGCATCATTTTATGTTACGTACACTTTGCCACAGACAAAACAGACACCCTCATTCCTTACTGCTGTTAGGTGGGGGGAAGACGAGGACGCCAGGGCGGGGTGCAGAGGCTGATGTATCCCAGGCCAGGACAGCTAAGGCAGGAGGGAACCCAAGTGAGAAGTGTTGGGGCAGGCCCTGTGGGCCCAGATGGCTCCTGGCAGCACTGGACAGCCTGGGCCTCGTCCCCTCCATGTCGATGGCCCTGGCACTTGATCTGCTCCCCCTTCCACTCCAGGCACCGGGAGACCCTCTCCAATCTCCACCAGGCCCAGGCTCGGCTCACCAGGAAGTAGGAAAAATGCCAAGTAGATTCAGTTAGTCGTCCAGAGACGACATACTTAGTCTTTGGCTTGGGGCTTTGGAAAACATCTGAGAGAAATGCTAAGGCTGTCTCGAATCACAACCCACAAGGAGCTGTCATGAGGACAGGTCTAGGCAGTAACAAACAGGTCCTGAGCTAAAGCAAGGAAGACTCATGCTGACTCTCCCTTCTCCTCCTTCCCATCTTTGTTTTACTTCCAGGAGGTTGGAGGTAACCTTAGGGAACAGGCTATCAAGCGGGGCTTGGGCTGAATCTGGGGGAACAAATATAGCCAGCAATGGACTCAATGACTGCACGGCTGCCTGTCCTCATTGGAGACATTCTTCACTTGTTGAGTGGAAAAAGAGTCTTTTTGTTGGTACGTGGGAGTTCAAACGACATAGAAGGTGCGTGTGAAAGCTCAGTAGCCAAAGGGATGGGCCGCACCAGTTATCCATTTATTGCCTCCCACCCCACATTGCCCTCCATTGCCTGCTCTGTGATCATGGAGCAGAAGTCTGCAGCTGGGGCCACGTCAAGTCTTGTCAGTAGACGGCACTGGAGAGACGCTGGAGGAGGAGGAGAGGCTTCCTTGCCTGGCTCCAGCCTGCTCCCTCAGGAGACTCCTGCTGCACAGGCGGCTTCCCCAGCAGCAGTCTCCAGCAGTCTCAGAGTCACAGGCGGCTTCCCCACATCCAGCTCCTGCAGCTCGCGTGGCTCCCCAGCACACAGCAGTGAGCAGCACCAGCACCCAGCACCTTCCCCCAACATCCCCTGTGACATTTGCCTGCACCCTAGAGGGCACATTTCCAGCAAGTTCTGCAAGCACAGCACCCCAGAGACTTCTTGGCCGCTCAGTATGCTTCGGCTGTACCTCTCCAGGAGGGCTGGACCTCAGCCCAGGGGTGAAGTCTGCGGCTCTGCCCCGGGCACTCCAATCCCATTAGAGTCAGTACCTCTGTACATTACACCTTCCCTGCTCAAGTCATGGCACCTGGACCCTGTCCACTGGCTGCACCCTGACTCACACAGCTCACCCTGCTGGGGGCCGTTCAGAGTCCGCTCCCAGACTCTGAGCTGGCTCTGCTGCCCAGTCCTCTGCATGAAGGGAAGCCTGGACACTCTTCATTCCCCACTCCCTGCCTGGAGTGAGCTAACTCAGCCAAGATGCTAGGCAACACAGCGACTGTGACTTTGCATGGTGACTCAAGAAGCTAGTCAACATAGTTCAAGTCCTTCCAGGTACAGATTTTAAAATGATGAAAACTTCCCAGGCAATTGCACTAGTGAGCAATTTCAAATGTCATTTTTGGTTGTGGGTTACATCTCAGCCTCATTCTCTAGGTGGATTCCTGCTGGCATGCTCCACAGAGTGCAGTGGCACCATCCAGGGCCCAGGGTCACAGGGAAGAGGGGGAGAACTGGATCACACTCGCCACTCCCTGGCCTCGGTCTCCCATCTCCTCTGGTTGGTCCCCCAGCTCTCTCCCCAACACACACTCTGCCGCCATCACCCGGACTTCTCACCAGCAACATGGACCAGCCAGCCCAAGTTGGGCTCTCACTCACTGTCACCCCAATTCAGCTGCCCCCAATCCTCTGATCAGAGGCTACAGGGCTGCACCCCTGCGTGGACCCACTTCACTCCTCTGTCCTGCCCACATAACCACCTTTAGAAGCCAAGTCTTAGCATCTTTGTACATCAGCTCAGGGTCCCTGCCACCAAGAGGTAGTCCCCCAGGTCCCACACTAAGTGACCACTGTCTGATCATGCAGCTCCTCCCGGGGTCCTGCCCTTCCCCGCCCACGGGCAGCAGCGGCATGCCCCTTCTCCTACACGGGTGCTCCCAGGACTGCAGGGCACCCAAGGCCGAATGGAGGATGACAGATGCAGAACAAGGGGGTTACCTGTATGCATTTTTGGAAACAGGGCGAGGATCAAATTTAAAGAAGATGATGCACATGGGTCCCCAAGGGTGGCTTTGCTCACACGGGGTCACGTGGTCTGCAGGAAAAGGAAAAAATGAGTTGAGTAAATGGCAAACGACAGAACTGCCTCGCCAAACGAGCAATGCTCCCTGGCCCGGAATAGAACCACCTCTGCAATGTCCCTGAACCTCGCTGGGCAAGGGAGAACCAGATGCCAGACACCGCGATGCTCGCTGGCACCACACAATCATCTCCCTAAACCCACACACTCGTCAGCACTGGCTAGACTGTCTCCTGACACCCGCAATGCTCGCTAGCCCTGGACACACCTCATGGGGGTGGCAGGTGCGAACTGGAGGGGAACAGCAGCAAATCCAAGAACCATGAGCTCAGCAGGGGTGGCGGGCAGCAAGCCCTTCCACCCCATGCCTGGCTGGCCCTGCGGCTTGCTCAGTGCCCAGCACCAGACTGCCCATTCCTTCTTCTGGCAACAGTGCCAATTCCAGCCCCCAGCACCTCAAGGCAGGGCCACACCAACTGGCCCGGGTATGCTCTGTGGCAGGGTCCACAGAGGGCCCTCGGCAGATGCCTTTTGCCCACGATGGCCCAGTAACAGCCAGGGGACCAGGTGGACCCTGTGCACTCCACATCTGCAGGCAGGGATGCAGAGCAAAGCACATACACAGGGGACATGGCTGTGCTCCCAGGCATGGGCAGTGCAGACTCAGCGTGCATGTACACACAGGCCCTGCACCTGGCGGCCTCGGGGACCAGCAGATCTCTTCCCACAACCGAGCTAAGAACTGAGATGAGATCCCAAGGCCACTAACCCTAGACAAGGTGACTGTGAGGGTCTCTAGTTCTGCATGTGTGTGACGAGCTGGGGACATGGCTCCAGGGCAGAGCCAGCACCCACAGCTGGGAAGTGTGCACCAAAGTTGCTGAAGTGAGCCAAAAAGATGCCCCCAGAAGGGCCTGATGAGTGAGGGGGGAAGGGTGTGTTCAGTGTATGTGCACATATGTGAGGCTGCAAGGCCTGTGTACATGTGTAAGTACACGGGTATGTGCATATGTGTGTGACTACATGTGCGTGTATGTGTGTCTAGAGGAGGCCACTGAGCTCCAAGGCCCATATCTTGGGGTGCCCTGGAGCTGAGGAGGGTTGTGCCCTATCTCAGGGCACCCTGGGGCTGGATAGGGTTGTGCCCTATCTCGGGGCACCCTGGGGTTGGGCAGGGTTGTGCCCTATCTCGGGGCACCCTGGGGCTGGGCAGGGTTGTGCCCTATCTCGGGGCACCCTGGGGCTGGGGAGGGTTGTGCCCTAACTCGTGCCGTGGGGCTAGGGAGGGTCTGTGCAGTGGCAGGCTAAGTGCCAGCTGCCTGCTAGGCAGGGCCTGGGCTCCGCCCCAGGGAGTTCATCTGTAAGGCAAGTCAGGCCCTCACTGGAGATAGCAGGGGCGTTGGGATGCCCAGAACCAGCACATCCTTGTTCCAGGTGTCAGCACAAGCCATGGCCACTCTGCCCCTCCTGCTCCTCTGCCCCCAGGTCTCAGGGCAGCCACAGAGGGGAGGGGGCCAGCCTGCTGCGCAGCACGCCAGTAGTCTTCCCCACAGGCATGTGGGCAGCAGGAGTGGGCCAAGGAGGGCTCCAGCTCACTGCCCAGGCTGGGGGCCCCTGATGCCCACGCACCACAGTTCTGGGCAAGGGCCCGCCCCGGCCCTGGAGACAGGCAGGTAAGAGTAACGCGAGAGCTCCCCTCTGACATCAGGGCACTTGCTCCCAGCTCTTGGGTCTCTGACGTGAAACCTTTCCTGTTTCAGGACTCACAGAAGGAGGATGCTCCCAGCACACCAACCCTGCATCAAAGCTATGCCAGCACTAAGAGGCCACAGCCCACAGAGAAGCCAAGGAGGGGCCAAAGCCCTAGGCCAGCACTGAGGACACGACCACAGCTGAGAGCCACATGGAAGCTGCCGAGCTTGTGGGGCCTTCCCGTGGATGAGACCGGGTGTGATGACACCATGGGGTCCCTGCTACCCCATTCACTTCTGCTCACTGGTCTGGCCAGGGTAGGAGATTGGGTGGGGGTAAAATTCACTCCACTACTATCCCCACTGGCTCCCACAGGCCCTGGAGGGACCCCCAGGATTCAGCCCCGTGTTCCTCTAGGCCCCCGCAAGCTTGGCTGTTGGTGATGGCCTCAGAGGACCAAGCTTTGCCCTCAGGAAGAACCTGGTGGCTATGCAGGTGGAGCACTGCCATGGTGACAAGTACCATCTGCAGAAGTGCAGGGTGCTAGAGGACGTGCACCATTTGAGATGGTCTGCTGGCCACTGGCCCTCATAGGATGCTGTGCCAAAGGCAGTGCCTGATGCAGAAGGGGCCCTGAGGTGACGGGAGCCAGGCTGGGTCCCCGCTCTTAGGCGCCTATCATCCCAAAGGTGCCTGACGATCCCAACACTGGTGGGCAGGCAGCTGGGACCACCCTCCCAGTGAAAACAACTCAAAATGCTTGAAAGAATATAAAAACATCTTAAAAGCAGGCAAGAGCTGACAAGATCATACAGGGTTTGGCCAACAGCTCAGAGAACACAGGAACTCAGAGAGAGAGAACACAGAGTGCAGGGTTGTCCTGCCCTGGGGCCTCGGCCCATCAGAGCACATTGGGCTCTGGCAGCCTTGGGTGGCAAGGGAGAGAGAAGACAAGGCCTACAGCCGCCCCGAGATGGGGGTCTATTAGAAAACCCTCCCCCAAGTGAAGGGACCCCAAAGAGCAGCACTCACAGGATAAAGGTGGGCTACATCCACAGCCATCCAGGGGCCGCGGGGACAGCACACAGAAGTGGGGGAGTCCCTGAGAAGTCCCACCAGTGGAGCCAGGGCCACCCCAGGAGTCCAGGGAGCCTCATGCCTAGACTTGGTTTGAGGGGCTGCCATGCCAGTAGTGCCCCCAGGCACCCAGCAAACCAAAGCTCTCCAAAAAGTCTCAGAAACAGCCTCACGAACGGAGAGCAGCACGCAGTCAGAAAGAACACACACGAAACAAAGCGCCATGAGCAAGCAGCAGGAAGAGATCCCCACACCTCATGAACCGACCATGCTCTGCAGTAAAGAGGAGCTTGGGAGCATCTGCAAGGAACAGGAAGTGACAAAGAGCAAACCAGGAGGTTCATCAAGCTCCAGAAAAAACTTCTGGAAATGGAAGCTACAGCAATCACAAATTAAAACTCAGCAGTGGATTTAAGAGCAGATTAGACACAGCTGCTGAGACGGGTCAGCAGAATCATCCAGAACCCAGTACAGGGAGATGGGAAGCATGCTGGGTCTCCCGGGGCCCCAGGTGTCCCATCCGCCAGGTGCAGTTGATAGGGTACCCAGCACTGGCCACCTGATCACAGTCCAGCACAGAAGACACAGGCTCCCTCATGCTGGGGGAGCTGGTCTCTCCCAGACAAGAATGTTCCAGGCGAGGCCAGCTGGTGATATCTGTGGTACCCAGGCTGACCGCGATCAGTGGGAGAAGCCCTGCCAGCCCATCCCTGCTGAATCCCACTGGCCAGAGCCCCACTGGGATGGACGGCTGCCCCACCAGGAACCTCCTGCCCCACCAGGAACGTGCCACTCTGGGCTCTCAGGGGAGGGAGCCTTGGCCTGCCACATGCCCCCTGGGCTGCTTGCCTGGCTGCTGGGTGAGGCCACTGGTCAGGGGCAGCTCTGGCTACTGATGCTCACAGGGCAGATGCAGAGTTCCTCCAACTTGGCTGCAGGACCTCACCGTCCTAGCCTGCCTGGGCGGGTGGCAGACCAGCCCTCCAAACGGCGGCAAGGAGGGCTCCGTGGTCAAAGGGCAGGTCCCCAATGGGTCTCCAGGCAGCCTGGTGCCAGAGGTGTGGGCACAGAGCCCAGGGCTGCGGCCTTGACGAAGACGCGGTCATTGGGAAGGAAGGACCAGAGGAAAGCCAGCCCCTGGGGAGGGGACCATCAGGAACTGCCTTTCTCTCCAATCCCTCACCCCCTACTCGAGCCAGGCCCGCTGCCCAGTGGCTCCTCCCCTTCCCAGTGTCACCTCCCATCCCCCCAGCAGCCCTGCACCTAGGCTCCATATGTTCCTTCAGCAAACTCCCGGCAGGTCCTGTGGGCGCAGGGCCTTCTCCCAGTGTGCCCCCACCCAGGCCCACCAGAGCTCCAAAACCTTCTTCAGGGCTTGGGGGGTCCTCCTGACACCCCTGCTCATGAGCCACCTTCTCACTTCTGCTGAGTTTCCAGCCTCCAAGAGCAAGCCCTGGATACACCACTGTCGTCCTGGTCACTGCACCATCTCCTGGGCACAGGGCAGGTGGGCGGCTGGCCTCACCCACAGTGGCAGACGGAGTCCTGCCCTGCTGCTGTGGGCCTGTCCGCCTGTCGCTTGGGGCGCTAAGAAAACGCTCCTTCCCACTCCCCTTGGCTCCTGGCCCAGGGTGGGAGGGTGGGGAGATAGAAGGGGCTTCCCCAGGTCCTGCTGCACCAGATGGCATCTACAGATGGCATCTACGTTTGTCAACGGGAGCGCACCCTAAAGGGCACCTGCGCTATAAAAAGTGTGGGCAGGGTGGCGTCCTAGGCAGAAGCATGACTGGCTTTCTCAGTGAGGCCCCCAACCCAGCTGTCCCCACCTTCACCCGGGGCCCAGCGCACAGGCCAAGGCCCTGGAGGAGTGTCTGCACGTCCCTGGTGGCCCAAGAAGACAGATCTATGCAGGGTTCTGGGGTCATCCCCGAGGGCCAGGGGCCAGAGCCAGCCCACAGCCCAAAGAAGAAGGCAGGAGAGTCCTAGGGGATCTGACTAGGAGCCTTGCCCATGGGCCTTGGTGACCACAGGGCGGACACCTTGAGGTGGGAATGCCTGGTGGCACCTGAGCATTGCAGGAAGCCACACCCCACCTCTGCATCCTGCGCCCAGGTGCTGCCTGCCCCAGAGATCACGGAGGCCACGTACAATGTGCACACCTGCCAGGCTTGAGGAAGACAGTTAGACGTCACATGCCTGCCCTCTCCAGCTGTAAAGGGCTCATTTTTCCTCTCTTCCCCTCACTT